ATGTAAATGCTGTGTTGAGGGTTTGAAACCCCGAATTTGCACATTGTAGTGCTATGTTGAGGTGACTTGCACGCCGGATAACGGGCGTGGGGTAGAGCACCGTCAGGGATTGTGACTTGGTCCGTCCCGCTTAATAAAAAATACTACCTAATTGAGTGTAGTTTTGTGATATCCTTATAAAAATGGATTAATTGTTATAATTGGGCTTTGTGCCAACTACTTGAATCCTTCAGGGATTGATTTTACTGGTTTCTTACCATATTTATAGATGTTAAACTCAGTCCTGGTATTTAATATTGTGTTGGGAAACTCAGCCATTTTTCTTAAATTAGAAACTAAATTAATATTTTAAATGAAGTTTGGGGCTGAATATTTTTATACTATTATGTGATTTTTTTTGGACTGAGTATGGGATCGGGCTGCACGCCGCAGTGGTATAATAATGATATTGATATGAGGCCAAGGGCCTGTTTGATGCCACGAGATGGCTTATTATTGCGCTTGGGCCGTAAGGGGCCCCTCGCGGAGTCTGCACACCCCCAGTGAGCGCCGTCGACGTTACATAAATAGAGCGGGCTGCACGTCGCAGCGGGGTACTGGAGAGTACCGGTTTATGTGTTGCATTGCATATTTTAATTGTCATTTATTCTTTATCTGTTGTGGTATTATTATAATTGTCTTCGCTGTTTTACTGTATTTATAACTTTACCTTGTGTTTATTTGGGATCTCTTATCCTCAGACTTTATTTATATTTATTACTTTCTGGGTTGGAAGTACTCACTATACTCCCTGCACCTTGTGTGCAGATCCAGGTACACCACAGGGTAAGTGAGGATTTGTTTAGCTGAGCAGCAATATCCGGGAGTATCGAGGTAGCTGCATGGCGTTCGCAGCCTTGATCTCTCCCATCTATCTTTATCCTTTTATTCGCATTTTTTCTAGACAGACTTGTGATAGGTGAATATTCTGTATTAGAGGCTCATGTTCGTGACACCAGATTCTGTGGGCTGATTAGTATTTTTATTTTGGGGTTTCGAATGTTAGAAACTATTTCAGAAATTCCGCATTAAATTTGGTATTTAGTAGTGAATATTTAATTATCCACTATGATTAATCGGTCAAGGTTGTCTAAATGGTCGGGCTTGCCTAGCAGTGTGTTGGGCGCCATCACGACCGGGGTTGGGTCGTGACAGGATGCAAGAACTATTTTGCAAATCAAAAGTGGAGACTCACCAAGGTATCATTGGTTATTGCAAATGGGGTTGCTCGTGGCACGTTGTACTGGACAAATGCAGAAATATGCCAAGGTGAATTGAACGCGGCACAAGATGAGATTTCTGCAGATTTGTGGCACAAAAAAATGGGTCATATGAGCGAGAAGGGATTGTAGATTCTTGCCAAGAAATCACTCATTTCTTATGCCAAAGGTACAACGATAAAGTCTTGTCACTATTGTTTATTTGGTAAGAAGCATAGAGTCTCATTTTAGACATCGTCTGGAAAAAATTGAATATACTTGATTTAGTACATTCTGATGTTTGTGGTCCAATGGAAATTGAATCGATGGGAGGTAACAAATATTTTGTTACTTTTATTGATGATGCTTCACGAAAATTATGGGTTTATATTTTGAAAACCAAAGATCAGGTGTTTCAAGTTTTCCAGAGGTTTCATGCTCTAGTAGAAAGTGAGACGGGTCGAAAGCTAAAACGTCTTCGAAGTGACAATGGAGGTGAGTACACTTTACAGGAATTTGAAGAGTACTGTCCAAGCCATGGGATCAGACATGAAAAGGCAGTTCCTGGAACCCCACAACACAATGGCGTAGCCGAAAGAATGAACCGCTCCATTGTGGAGAAGGTGAGAAACATGCTTAGAATGGCTAAACTGCCAAAGTCGTTCTGGGGTGAAGCAGTTCAGACAGCCTGTTACCTGATCAATAGGAGTTCATCAGTTACGTTGGCGTTTGACATCCTAGAAAGAGTATGGACCAATAAGGAGGTGTCCTACTCGCATTTGAGAGTGTTCGGTTGCAGAGCTTTTGCACATGTACCAAAGGAGCAGAGAAAAAAGCTAGATGATAAATCTGCTCCCTGTATATTCATCGAATATGGAGATGAAGAGTTCGGGTACAGATTGTGGGATCCTATAAAGAAGAAAGTCATTAGAAGCAGAGATGTAGTCTTCCGAGAAAGTAAAGTTGGAACTGTTGCTGATATATCAGAGAAGGCCAAGAATGGTATAATTCCTAACCTTGTTACAATTCTTTCTTCTTCTAACTATCCCACAAGTGTAGAAAGTACGACCAACGAGGTTACCGAGCAGGGTGAGGTTATTGAGCAGCGGGAGCAACTTGATGAAGGTGTCGAGGAAGTGGAGCACCCCACTCAGGAAGAAGAACAATCTCAACCTCTGAGGAGATCAGAGAGGCCAAGGGCGATGAGGGGGAGCCAGAAAGTCTTAAGGAGGTGTTGTCCCATCCAGAAAAGAACCAGTGGATGAAAGCCATGCAATAAGAGATTGAATCTCTACAAAAAATGGCACGTACAAGCTGGTTGAACTTCCAAAGGGTAAAAGACCACTCAAATGCAAATGGGTCTTTAAACTCAAGAAAGATGGAAATGGCAAGCTGGTCAGATACAAAGCTCGATTGGTGGTTAAAGGCTTCGAACAGAAGAAAGGTATTGATTTTGACGAAATTTTCTCACATGTTGTCAAAATGACTTCTATTCGAATAATTTGAGCTTAGCAAGAGCAATTGGATGTGAAAACTGCATTTTTTCATGGAGATTTGTAAAATGAGATTTATATGGAGCAGTCAGAAGGATTTGAAGTAGCTGGAATGAAACACATGGTGTGCAAATTGAATAAGAGTCTTTATGGATTGAACCAGGCACCAAGGCAGTGGTACATGAAGTTTGACTCATTCATGAAAAGTCAAACATACATAAAGACCTATTCTGATCCATGTGTATACTTCAAAAGATTTTCTGAAAATAATTTTATTATATTGTTGTTGTATGTGGATGACATGTTAGTTGTAGGAAAAGACAAGGGGCTGATCGCAAAATTGAAGGGAGATCTATCCAAGTCATTTGATATGAAGGACTTGGGCCCAACACAACAAATTCTAGGGATGAAGATAGTTCGAGAGCGAACAAGTAGAAAGTTGTGGCTATCTCAAGAGAAGTACATTGAACGTGTACTGGAACGCTTCAACATGAAAAGTGCTAAGCCAGTCATCACACCTCTTGCTGGTCATCTAAAGTTGAGCAAGAAGACGTGTCCTACAACACTGGAGGAGAAAGGGAACATGGTTAGAGTTCCTTATTCTTCAACAACTTTGATGTATGCAATGGTATGCACTAGACCTGATATTGCTCACGCAGTTGGTGTTGTCAACAGGTTTCTTGAAAATCCTGGAAAAGAACATTGGGAAGCAGTCAAGTGGATACTCAGGTACCTAAGAGGTACCATAGGAGATTGCTTGTGCTTTGGAGTATCGGATCCAATCTTGAAGGGCTATACAGATACTGATATAGAAGGTGACATTGATAACAGAAAATCCACTAGTGGATATTTGTTTACATTTTCAGGGGGAGCTATATCATGGGAGTCGAGGTTGCAGAAGTGTGTCGCACTCTCTACAACTGAAGCGGAGTATATTGCCACTACTAAAGCTGGCAAAGAGATGGTATGGCTCAAACGGTTCCTTCAAGAGCTTGGATTGCATCAGAAGGAGTATGTCGTCTATTGTGACAGTCAAAGTGCAATAAACCTGAGCAAAAACACCATGTATCATGCAAGGACGAAGCATATCGTCGTGAGATATAATTGGATTCGAGAAAGGATAGATGATGGGTCTATGTAGGTAAAGAAGATCCATACAAGCCTTCGGACATGCTGACCAAAGTGGTACCAAGAGAAAAGTTTGAGCTATGCAAAGAACTTGTCGGCAAACACTCAAACTAGAACCTCCGGTGTTACCTCCTTCAGGTAAATGGGACTGCAGGGGAAGATTTTTGGGGTCCAGCCCATAAATTAAGGAAGACAACTTTCTTCCTTTGCCTTCTTTTTCTAATTTGGCCGCCACTTTTCCTTTTGCATAGTCAACATTGTAGGCTGTGTCAAATGTGGTAGGCGTACAGAAAGAAAATGTCAAGTGTAGTAGGAGAGGTTCTGCCTATTAAAGGAGAGCTTCGACTCTCATTTCAATACACCAATCTCAGAGGAAAAATATATATGAGAGTTAGAAAGAAGGAGTGAGGTTTCACAGACAGGGTATAAGAAAATAGTCTGTGAGAAAAATAGAGAGTGAGTGATACTGTAGTGAGGTGAGAATATCAAAAGAGGGTTATTTCTTTTGAGTGTTGTAGCGATCTTTTGAGTATTTTACTCGGACGTACAAAGTGTAAAATTCCTTGCTATAGTGATATTAGCTGCTCTTCTCGGGGCCGTGATTTTTTCCCTTATTCAAGGGTTTTCCACGTAAAAATCTTGTTGTCGTTGTTACTTTTTTTTTTCTTGTTAATTACCGTATCTCCGTGCTACGTTATTATTCTGCCTTTTATTACCGTGAATATTATTCTTGTAGGGGGGTTATTCCCAACATATAGGTCATATGGTGATCACAGGGACTCAAAATAAGAAGAAAAATCCTTACACCCGCGTAAACCCGCAACACGCCCCGTCCTGCATCAATTTTATGAAAAATATTTCAACCCGCCCTGCCCCGCCTCGCATAGTCCTAAACCCGTACCGTCCCACACCCGCATCGCCCCATTTTCCATTCCTAGGTTCGATTGTCATTTTAGCATATTTACAAATCGATAACCGAAACTGAACCTATAACATTCAAATTCGAACCGAGCCGATAAGCAGCACTAGTCAAACCATGAAAATTGGGGCTATTTTGCGCAAATTTAAAAAACAAGGACAAAATAACAAAGCGCTAAAAGAGGCTAATCGTGCAAATCATACCTCTAGTTGGTTTTAGGCTTCACTTTCTTTTCTCCTACACTTACTATTTCACTCTACACTTTTTTCCCCCAAATCCTCTTCCCCTCTGCGCGATGAGTCCAACTATTGCCAACTGCTGAAGAACTCGTAAGGGTGTCATTGGTAATCCTTGTTCTCGTTAACTTTTAAATTATACTTCTCTCGCACTTTTTTTTTTTTTTGAAAAAAAAGAAGAAAAAACATGTTGGAATTGGTGTATGCTAGCTGCAGTTATATATGTTCTTTAGGGTTTCTAATTTGATGTTCAAATCTAGCAAAAATCTGGTGAAACAGCTTCGTAAAGCTTATTTTGTTACTTAAAAGTTAAAAATGACCTTATTTTATTGTTGATCGCGATGTTTAATAAGCTTAGAAGAAGAAGAAAACAGATAATATGATTTTGGGTTTCTGCACTTTTGATTTTTCTTCTTAATCGACAAATGTATTTTAGAAGTATTGATAGGAGTTGTTCTTTGATGTGAGAATGCAATGTTACATGGAGTTGTTTTGTTGGTACATATCCAGGTAGAGATGTGTCAAAGTATCCACTATGGCTATGTCAAAGTTTCTAATTTTTTGTGTATTTTAAAGAATTTGCACAAAATATCCACTCCGTTATTGTACCCGTTCTATTTTGATAATTGTATATGAAGGCAAAGTAATTATCCATATATAGATATTAAGGGGAGATAATGGACTGATTGCAACTACAATGCACCTTTATTTCCTATGTTGATTTGACCATGTGAAGAGCCCTTTCGTCCATATAGTTTGGAGATTCGTTACTTCGTATTCATATTGTTGTTTATTTTCTACGGTTTCTTGGTGATTTTTGTTATGAGTGATCCTTTCGTTCCTATTTTGATGTGACAGTGTGAATAGTAGTTCTGTTCTGATAGTTTGGAGGTTTTGTCAGTTTTTTCCCATATAATTTGGAGATTCCTTACTTCGTAATATTGCGTATTGTCTCCAGTTTCTTGGTGATTATTCTTATAAGATGTTGCCTGAGGGAAGAAAGCATTGTCAAGGTTTACCTCCTGACGTCCTTATCAACCTTCCTGATAATGTAATCGATGTCATTCTGATGTGTTTGCCTTGTAAAGATGGTGTGCGGACAAGCGTATTATCGAAGAAATGGAGGTATCACTGGTGTAGACTTGCAAAGTTTGAGCTTGATGAATCTCTTTGGAGAACACAAAAGGATCGACTTTACCCTACAGTTAGACTTGCAAAGATTGTTTACCAGCTTTTGACCCATCATGAAGGACCGATTACTAAGTTTAAGCTCCGCATTGCTCATGCTGATCTGAAAGAATGTCCTGAGATTGACAATTTCATATATTTCCTGTCTAGGAAAGGCATTCAACATCTTGTTCTTCACCTTCCAGAGGACGGTATATACAAATTGCCTTCTTCACTTTTCATATGTTCACAACTAAGGCATCTAAATCTTCACGATTGTTTAATACATCCTCCACCGGCCTTTAAAGGGTTTGATAGGCTAGTCAGCCTGGAACTATGTAGAGTCACAATTTCTTCTGAATTGCTCGGAAGTTTAATATCTCATTGCCCGTTGCTTGAGCAGTTCGTGCTGAAAATCTCGGAAAGTTTAAACATAATTGAAATTAATGCTCCAATGCTGAGATCCTTTGATTTCACAGGTAGTATAAGTTCTATCTGTCTAAAGAATGTCCCTCTTATGGCAAAAGCATCTCTAATGCATGAGGGTTCTTCTAGGGAGGCAGAGAATTTTGATTATGCAAAGTTTTTCGAGTCATGTTCTTCTCTCGAGCACCTCCTATTAAACTTCAAATATGGCAAGGTAGAAGTTGCTTCATGACTTTATTATTATGCACTTTCACGGATGGAACTTCTTTCGGGCTGACGCATCTTGAGTTTTGGTGTTCCTAGTTCTTTGCAGATGAAACACCGACAAGGCTTCCCTTTGATCTTAACCGTCTCAAACATTTGCGCCTGTCTAATATTGTGGTGAAGGAATCATATAAGCTCTCATGTGCTCTCTGCTTGATAAGAAGCTCCCCATATTTAGAATATCTCGAAATTGAGGTTCTTAGTGCTTTGACTCTTTTCTTTTTTCCTTCTTCATTCTTCTTAGATCCTCAATAATTTGAGAGTTGACTTCTTGTTATCTTTTTAGATCTATGGATATTATGATGGTGCTCCAGAATCCCTTGAACTCGAACGTTTCTCAGATATCACATTTAATCACCTCAGGGAAGTTACGCTAATAAAATTTGGAAGAACAACGCTTGAGATGCAGCTTATCAAGCTTTTGCTAGCCAAGTCGCCAATGTTGGTGAAAATGCTCATCTATCCAGTATTTAATCTTGAGACAACATCAGAAATACTCGATGAGCTATCAAAGTTTGGGCATGCATCACCTAAAGCGGTAATAGTCTACTATGATAAAAAAGAAGTAATAGTCAACTTCTCATGATCTTTGGCGGAAACATTTCAAAGTTAAAACTGAATAGATAGAAACAGATGTTGATGTAGTATTATAACATTGTGTTTTGCCTTTTTGTAATAAGATAAAGAGACGCGCGAATATTTGTTTAGGAACATGAGCATTTCTGGAAGGATGTTTTGGTTGGTTTGTTAAGGATTTTCACTTTTAGTGTCTGCTTATGAATGATTTGTTGAATTTGACATACACATGAGTATACTGTGGTGGTTTATTCAATATTATGTTGTGGTTCAGTGTTGAATTTTATATATATTCGGCTTCCGCAACAGTCAGTTCCTTAAATATGGCAAGCTTGAAGCACTTCTTTTTGGCTATGCCTGTAAGGTAGAGAGCCATGGAGATTTGATACTCTGCTATGAATTTTACAATTTGTCTACTAGCTAGCACATATGCAATCTTTTTTAATGAAAAGATGTACTCTTTTTATTTGTTGCTAAAAATGAAAAAAATACTCAATATGGTGTAATACACATTATTCAATTATCTCCTATTTTGTGGAGCTTAATTCTGTTTACAAGTCGAATACCATTGTTCTTATTCACTGATTTTCTTAATATTGTAAAGTAGTGCTACCTTTGTTTCAATTTATGTGAACCTATTTAACTGGACACGGAGTTTAAGAAAAAAATAAGACTTTTGAATTTGTGGTGCAAAATGATGGACATATATTTTGTGTGGCTACCAATCATTGCATAAAAGTAAATTATTTTCAAATATAGAAAGGAGTCGTTCTTTTTGATACAGACTAAAAAAATAGGTTCAAATAAATTGAAACGGATGGAGTACTTAAGTCCTTTGAGAATCTCAGATTTATATTATGTACAAAGTTGATCCAATTTTGTATTACTTGTTTGGCAAAAGTAAATCTCGTTGTGTGGATCAGGCATATGGTACTTGAAAAGAAAATTCGGTTTAAATTTTCTGCTTACTAGAGTTCTTCTTTATGCATGTTAGAGACTTGATTTTATAGGATATACATTCATTATACTATGATATACTACTAAAGTATTTTCGTACTATGTTATATTTAATACAATGGTTTGCTATTATAAATAGGCGAACTGAGATTAATAAAGTAAGATAGAGTAATTTTCACACAGTGTCCAGTATCAGTATCAGAGTCCAACTAATTCCGATTCGCGCCAGGATGGTAAACTGCTCCTAACAAAGGTGATTCCTTATTCATGGCTCAAAGCCAAGACTTCTGGTTAAGGACGAAGGAGTACTTACGACTCACAACATGACAACACGACCCTTTCCACAATTTCCAACTATATTCGAGAAGTTTAATTAATAAAAATACTTTTTCGAGCATAAGTGTATAATAAATTTGATATTTTTTCAGTTAACTACTACTACTATGTTATCATAAATTGGAAAAAAAAATGAGGATAATATTATTTTAGGGAAATCTAGGCGGTATGCCCTATGGAAACATAAGTTAACACAATATAACATTGATTTAATTTTCTTTCATTCAGTACCCTTAATTTAGTTTTTAATCTATTTTTAATTTATAAAATATACTTGTATACTATCCTAACAGATATACTAAGTATTACACTCTCCCCCACCCCCACATAGTTAGCACATTTAGAACATATTCAAACATAGGTGGATCCTGAATTTGAAGCTTATAGGTTCCTACCATAATTTTACATAAACATATAATAATAACTGAGTTCATAGATAAATATTTAGTAAATCTTTTAATAAAAATACATGGTCTACCCAAAAATTACTAGGTTTTCAAAAACCCATATACAATAAATCCGCCATGAACAGCTTGTTTGGATTGTTTTTACATGTTGTTTCATATCGTATTGTATTATATTGTATTGTTTGATGGATACAACCTTTGAATAGATTATATCGTCGTCGTTTTATGATATCACACTCCAACAATATGAAGAATAAACTTTGCAATCTAATTAAGGAAAAAATAGGATACAGAGTATAATTATTCATTAAAAAAATAGGGTAAATACTAAAATATAATTATTTAATAATAAGTAAGGGCAAGATAAGAGAACAAAAATAAGGAAATGACGTCACCAAACCAAATCCGTCGTTCCATAAAGTGACACTTTTCGTCGTTATGAAATGAAGGATTAAACGATAGGATATAATAAACTTTAAATAATAATCAAAACAAATATTGTATTTGAGTCAGTTGGCCATGAAAATTATTTCACTTGTTTCGAAAAAAATTTACTTTTTTTTTGGAAATCAGTGTTTGGCCATAAAATTTTCAATTTTCACTTGAAGATGAATTTGAAATTTTTCGAAAATTTGAAAAATTTCAAAAAGCTGTTTTTCAAAATTTTCACTCAGATCACTCACAAAAATTCAAAAATAATCCAAAATTATACTCATATCCAAACCCAACTCTAATTTTCAAATACTATTTTCATTTGAATTTTTTTTTTCTCACTTTTTTCAGAATTTTACAATTCTTATGTCCAAATGCTCACTTAAAGTAACACACAATACAATATAAATACTAACAACCATCCAAACAAGCCGTTAACAGCTGAAGCAACACACTAGGAGTGGCAAACGGGCGGGTCGGGTCGGGTCGGGTCGGGTCGGGTCGGATATGGTTCGGGTTGAAAACGGGTAATGAAAAAGCAGATTAATTATCCGACCGGACTCATATTTAATACGGATAAAAAACGGGTTAACCGGTGGATAATATGGGTTACCGTATTATCCATGGCTTCTTGTATATGATCACTTTTGGGAGAATTCTTAGTCTCTCTAACTTGAGAAACCCCAAATTTGAGACTTTACAAATATAAAAGTTAGACCCATTGGTTATCCATTAGTTATTCATTGGTTATGCATTTTCTAAATGGATAATATGGTTCTTATCCATATTTGACCCGTTTTTAAAAAGTTAACTATACAACCAATTTATTAGTGGATAATATGGGCGGTTAACTATTTACTTTCAATCATTTTGCCACGCCCTACAGCACACAAGTAGGCGCATAAGGGTTTCTCATAAGGATTCCATCCTTTTGGAATTTCCATCATCAGCAATCTTCTTGTAAGCTTAAATTATGCTTCCATCATTTATTTATTTTTGTGTTTTAATCATTTATTCCCTTTTGAATGAACTTCAATAATAAGTCTCTTATGTTCTTTTTCAATACTATGTTTTAATTTTTAGTTTCGTTTTGGGGGTATGTATATGTGTTCTTTAATAGTGACTTCTTAATGTAGTTTTTGTTAAAAACATAAGAAGCCATTGACGTTTCTCTCACAAAAAAGGAAACTGGGCAAAAAGATCTTTCAATCTGGTTAATTGGAAATTAAAACAGTAAGGAGTTGTTTGGTTGGTGAACAAGTTATTGTGGGATTAATAATATAACAACAACAACGAGCTAGTGTATTCCCACAATTGGGGTCTGGGGAGGGTAAAATTTATGCAGCCTTATTCCTCCCTGAACAGGCAGAGAGGTTTCCGATACACCCACAACTAAGAAAAAGATGAAAGAAGCACTGATAGTAAGTAATAACAGTACAAGATATTTAGAAAAATAAGACTACGATAGCAAAATAAAATATGAAAGAAGCACTGATAACAAGTAATACTGGATTATAATATTAGATTAAGAATGGCATGATTATTTGGTGGATATACTTTTATTGTTAGATGTTTGGTTCATTTGACTAAAAATGGGATATAAAAGTATAATACAAAAAATGTGTTTGCTTTAAACTAGAAAAAGTGGGTGAACTTTTATTTTCAATTTTAGCTTTGGCTTTCTTAAAGACTTTGGGAGAAGAGTTTTGTAGAAGGACAAACGTGTCATTTGGTGCTTAATCCCTGGTATTGTTTGCCCACATTGAATTGGGGGGGGGGGGGGGGGGG